AGCTAACAACTGTCTGTAACTCCAGTTCCAGGGGATCCAATGGCCTCTTCTGTCTTCCATAGGCATTGCACGACATGGGTACATTTACCTACATGTAGGTACCTACATTACCTCCATACACTCATACACATAAAATAAAAATAATAAATAAAATATTAAAAATAAAAATAATAAATAAAAAAAATTTAAAAACCAGGACGAGGGCTGGAGAGATGGCTCAGTGGTTAAGAACATTGGCCGTTCTTGCTGAAGACCCGGGTTTGAATCCCAGCACCCACATGGCAGCTAACAACTGTCCATAACTCCAGTTCCAGGGGATCCAACAGCCTCTTCTGTCCTCTGAGGGCATTGCACGGCACGGTGAACTTACCTACATGCAGGTAATACATGTGTGCACATAAAATAAAAATAATAAACAAAATATTAAAAAAAAAAAAAAACAGGACAAGTGCATTAGGGGACGTGGCTCAGTAAAGTGAGAAAAGTGCTTACCATGAAAACATGAGGATCTGAGTTCAGATCCCTAGCATCCATGTATAAAGCTGAGTGTTGTGACACACATCTATAACCCCAGCACTTGGGAAGCAAAGACGAGAGGATCCTTGTCTTGGGGCTGGCTTGCCAGCAAGTCTAGCCAAATTGGTGAGCTCCAGGTTCAGGAAAAGACCCTGTCTCAAAGAGTAAGGTGGAGAATAATTAAGAAAGACACCTGACACACCTAGCCTTCATACACACATGAGCACACATATGCACATGCATCCTTACATATGGGCTGACTCTGGCTGAGCTTGTATCACATTCTCAGTCACTGTGGCTGGGATATAAGGCCTTCCTCTGACTCTGAGAGCAAGGTTAGATACACACTTGCACCCAAGGGTTTGAGCATGGCAGAAGGAAAGTTCCAGGAGTAGATTAGTAGATCAGGAGCTATCATTAGAAGAATCAAAATGATTCTAAGGCAGGCAAAATCCAAGTTCCAGCGCAGTGGTTGACTGAAGGCCTGACCTGTTTGGAGATGGGCACAGTTCACCATTTCCCAGCTGATGGCAATAGTGGTTCACAGATCACACTTTGCAGCAAGGGCACACCACCTGGTATAGCTACCGCCCTCATATTCACTTGGGCTAGTGCTGGCCTGGAGCCCGTCTTTCCATTTGCCTGCTATTCCTGCCCTCACCCTGTACTCATACATACTGTTCTCTATATGTAGATCACTTTCCCTTAAAATTCCCTCATCAGAGCTGGCCATGGTGGTGCATGCCTTTAATTCAAGCACTCAGAGGCAGAGGCAGGCAAAGATCTGTGAGTTCGAGTCCAGCCTGGTCTACATACAAGTTCCAGGCCAGCTGGAACCCTGTCTCAAAAAGACCAAAAAAATCTTTCCTCATCAGCTAGGCACCATTTTCTTTTCCAACTTTTATTTATTTAATGTGTGTGAGTGTTTTGCCTGCAAGAATTTAAATGTACCCATATTGTGCAATGCCTGCAGAGGCCAGAAGAGGGTGTCAGATTCCCTGGAACTGAAGTTACAGATGGTTATTAGCTGCCATATGGGTGCCTGGAACTGAATGAACCTGGGTTCTCTGCAAGAGCAGCCACTGTTCTTAATTGCTGAGCCCTCTCTCCAGCCCCCTAGTTATCATTTTCAAGATTTTATCTCTTCCTGTGAATAATGTTTCCTCACTAAAGCTAAGGTTACAGTTCTTCAACTCAAGACTTCTCCAATTGAGACTTGGGAACATCAACCTTGTTGAATGGTGAAATGCATTTAATCATTCATGACTTAGATAAACAATGCAATGTTCAATTGATTTGTTGAGAATGTAACTTCCAGCCCAAGTTTCAACCTGGTTGTATTTTTCAGAGATAGGAGTTGAGACAGGATCTTACCACGTAGTCCTGGATGGTCTGGTACTATGTAGCCCAGGTGGGCTTTGAACTTGTGGCAATCCTCCTGCCTCAGCCTTCCAAGTGCTGGGATTATAGGCATGTGCCACCACATCCAGATTTCAATTCGGTTATATTGTACACTTAACTTTAGGTGGTTAGAAGGTGTTCAAAAGATCCCTTTTCCTTGTTGGTATAGCACTCAGGACCCCAGGTACTGATCAGTTTTCACTATGTCAATGGTGTGGTGGTGTGTGTGTGTATGTATGTTAGGCAGATGTTCATATGTGTGAAGGACAGAGGCTGGTATTGTTGACACTGGGTGTCTTCCCTAATCTATGTTCATGACCACTATGCCTTAACCCCTCACCAAAATGCCAAGTTCTTTTTTTTTTTGTCTTTTTGAAACAGGGTCTCCCTGTAGCCACAGCTGGCCTGGAACTCACTCTGTAGAACAGGCTGGACTGGAATTCACAGAGATCAGCCTACCTCTGCCTCCTGAGTACTAGGATTAAAGGCACGTGCCACCACGCCCTGCCCACCTTGACTTTTTGAAATAGGGTCTTTTGCCAGGCATGCTAGTGCATGCCTTTAATCCCAGCATTCGGGAAGCAGAGGTAGCTGGATCTCTGTGAGTTCAAGGCCAGCCTGGTCTACAGAGCGAGTTCCAGGCCAGCTGGGGCTACAGGGAGACCCTGTCTCAAAAGAGACCAAAAAAAAAAAATAAATAAATAAAAGGGTCTCTTAATGAACCTTGACTAGGTTGGCTAGTCAGCAAGCCCCAGGGGTCCTCCTGCCTCTACCTCCAAAGAACTATATAGGCATACAGTGTGCCTGTTTTGTTATTATTTATTTTTTGTAACATGGATTCTAAGGGATTGAACTGAGGTCCTCATGCTGTGTAACAAGCACTTGTATTAGGGTTTTCTAAAGAAACACAACTGATAAAATGAACATATATGTAGATATGGATTTCTTAGATTAGCTCACAGGATAGAGTCTGGTAGTACAACAATAGCTACATCACACTGGAGAGGCTGAGAATCTGCTAGTTGTTCAGTCCATGAGACTGGATATTTTAGCAGTCCTAATCTGGTGTTGAAGGCCTGGTAGATTCCAGGAGAGCTGCTAGTCTTCCTCTGTGTTGGAATCGGGTAAATTGGTTAAGCTCACCAATGAGAAAGAAGGCGGCAAGCAGCAAAAAAAGCAAAAGCTCCCCTCTCCATGGCTTTTTATAAGGGCTGCCATCAGAAGGTAATGCCCACATTTAGGGTGGGTCTTTCAAATTCAAATGATTCAATCCAGAAGGTCTCGCTCATTTTAGTTAATGCCAGATCCAGTCAAATTGACACCCAGAATTAGCCTTCACAGCACTTAACTGACTGAACCTTCTCTCCAGCCCTCAATAGTGCTTTTAATCCTGTAAACTTTGCAATTAATGTGTCCATGTTGGAAAAAATAATGAACTTTATCAAGGTAAAGACTTCCATATTTAAACCTTTGGACTGCCTGTGAAACTGAGTTCAGAGGCCTGATAGTAGCCTTGAACTTGTGACATTCCTCAGATCTTTAAGCTTTTCTGGGCCTTGCTGCCCTGACCAGTCATAGTTTGGATGTTTTACCATCATCTTCTCCCCCAGTGGTACCCTCATCAGTACCATTTGGGTTAACAGAGCTGGGGAGGACATGTCCTTCTATAAGCTTCATGGAGGTAACAGTGTCTTCTGCCTTACAGTCATGGTAGAAGTTGAAAGAATTGTAAGTGGGGTGGTGTCGCACGCCTTTGATCCCAGCACTCAGGAGGCAGAGGCAGGTGGATCTCTGTGAGATTGAGTCTAGTCTGGTCTATATAGGGAGTTGCAGCCTGGTTGGGGCTATAGGGAAACCTTGTCTCAAAAAGCCGACCCCCTCCCAAAAAAACCCCAAACAAAACAAACAAACCCAAAGCAAACAAAAGAATATTGTAACTGACAGTAGTAAGAAAAACCAAAGTTAGCTATTATCATCAGGATTCAATAGGAAATAAAACTGGGTAAGATGACTCAGTGTAAGTAGGACTATTATTCCTTCTCCCCACTGAAAAACAGTGTGGACTTGACCCTCCAAACCTTCCACCTTCTACTCCAGCTCCTAGAATTATCAATAGACGGCTCCCACATGTCCTGTGCTTAACTCCATTTTCCCCAGTACATTACTTTGGGTTAGATAAAGCTGTTCTCAATTATATTAATTTCTCTCCTAATTTAATTTGCCAGAAAATACATTGGTTTAGGAATTTCTCACGTTTCACTTGCACAGCTTCTCAGTGAAAAGCACTGGATTGCAAGCTTGCCTGTACAATTGTTTCCCACGTTTGCAATGGATTCTTTCCATTCACATGAACTTACTTTCAAGTGGGCTACAGATTTGCGTTTGAGACTTCAGCCACCGCCTGTGCAGAAACCATGCATAAGATCAAACAGTCCCCATCTTTCAAGGCAGAGATTAGGGAACGTTCTCCTTGAGGCTGAAGAAAAGTTCTGTTCTTGGTCTTTTTATTTCATCGACAGACCCAGAACTGTACCTAATGTTACAAAGTGCCCAAGTGAGTGGAATCATTTTCCTTCTGGGGACCTTTACCCAGGCAGCTGGGGCGCTACTGGCCAGGGCTTTCTGGCCACTCCCATGCCCTGACCCCATTTTACTTTTCGGGTTCCGGCGGATGCTGCCAGGCTGGAACCCTGGTGAGAAACTTAAAAGTTGGACTTCAGTCACCCCTATTCTTCATATTATCTACAAGCCAAACCACATGCCCTCATCCGCCGCCAGGCTTGTTGGGGAGCCGGCAGGAACAGGGGGGTCCTGTTCCCCTCCGCGGTGCGGGTCCCCAGCCTGCGATCGGCCAGTGTCCAGCGCCGGTGCGATGCTGGGTCCTTCGGGGAGGGCCGGGGCACATCACACCATCATGCTGGGTTCGCCGCAGGCCTGGCCTGGTCCAGCGGTTGGGGGCCCCGGACCCCGAGGCGGTGTGAGTCTGTGCTGGTGGCAGGAACGCAGCTGCGGCGGGGCTTCCCGGCTCCTCCTCCCCGCGGCCCTGCTGCGTAGCTCCGCCACTCCCCGCCCCGCGCGCTGCCCCGCCCTCGCCGCCGCCTGGCCTCGCTGCTAGTCCAGCGGATCTGAAGCCGGCCCCAGGCCGCCTCCCCTCCGCCTGGCCTCGCTGCGCGCCACCATGGACAGTCCCGTTTTCCCCTGGTAAAGATGGCGGTGCGCGATCGCTGCAACCTTTAGACTAATGACTGTCCGAAACATCGCCTCCATCTGTAATATGGTGAGTGGCCGCCAAGCCTCCGGGGGTTGTGTCAACGGCGAGCCAGGCAAAGAAAGGGAACCCTAGGCTGGAGCTGCACGCGCGCCCTGGGCGGCGGGGGACCCGGGGACCCAGTGGCCAGAAGTTCCCGGCCCCGGAACTGGGCTGGCTGGCCATAGCCGCCCGCCTCTGCCCAAGCTGGGGACCCCCAGCAGATCCTGGGGGATCCCCAGGGCCGCCGTGTGTCCCCGCCTTCGGGTTGCGGTGCCCGTGCCGGGTGGGGGTGGGGGCGCGAGGTGGCCGCACACTGATGACCCCAGGGAAGACCGTGGGCGGAAGAGCCAGGGGTGGGGACGCAGATCTCCTGGTGCAGTAAATAAACCTGTACTGGACTCACTGACTGCCCTCATCTGGTTTTGGAGTTCAGCCTCGGTTGTATTTAAGATCCACTTTGCAACAGCAATCCTCTCTCTGGAGAAATTGGACAGACACTAGAGCTTTGAAAGCACAAAGTGCAGAATCGTGGTTAGAGAGGTGAATGAACTTCAGACGGTCGTTTGTTCTGGATGCCTCAGTTTCCCCACCTGTGTGAGAGGGTATAAGGCAGTAACATTTGCAGGCCCTAGGAGTGAGGCTGACTTGTGGGTGTGGAGAAAGCCTGTGGGGTCATGCTGCCCCACCCCTTGTCCATTCAGCATTGGTCCAGGAGGGAGGGGTCTGGAGCCATGACCTAGTGATCACTTTAATCTGGGTTTTCCCCATTGCTTTCCCTTCCTTTTCAGTTTCTGCAGGACCCGTCTCCAGCCTTTGGGTCCCCAGGGTGTACCCAGCTGGCACCCCCACTTGTGAAAGCCTTAGGGAGCTCAGCTTGGGGTAAGGCATTGCTCACACTGTGGGGCTTTGAGGGTGTTCTACCTGTACTCTGGATCGCCCTCCCCCTCCAAGCCGGAACACTGCAGTTTTTGCATTTTGGGGAAACCCTCCCTTGAAGATAGATGGTAATACTAGCCCCTAAAGGGAATCTGAGGAGGCTTGATGAAGAAGGCCTTAGGTAAGGTGATCTGAGTGCCCTTCCCCCATCACACAGCTCTTTCAGTCTTCTGTCCCACATTCTGTAGCAAGATCAACACATGGCACAGGAACATTAAGGAGCCATGTGTTAGCTCAGGTGGAGTTGAAACCTGCTGGGGCAGGCTTCGTTTTTTTCAGTGCTGGTGGGCAAGGCCATGCCAGCAGACCAAATGCTGGGACTTTCCAGAGGGATAGCTGCCTGGCGTGGTGCAGGTCTCGTTAGATGATGTGGATGATTCCTGCAGCCTTTGCCATTTCCTCTTTCTTCCTTTCTGTGGGAGGAGATAGGTTTCCTGTTTCTTTCTGTCCAGTGGCATTAATATGGCCCGGTACCCTGATAACTGCTGTGTTTCTTCTCTGTCTCTTCTGTGACCAGCTCCTGAGGGAAACTGTGAAGTGGGCAGCAGGGAGGGCAGCAGGCTCCTCCCTGCCTGCTTGTGGTGGTGTTCCTGTCCCAAGCCTGTGTGGTGACACCTCTCTATTGTAGCAGGCAGGAAACTTGAGAGCTAGCATGTCCCAAGAGGAAGTTCGCCTCCTGCTGCTTCTTGCCCTTGCTGCAGCTGGGACTTCTTGGCACACCTGGACAGATTGTCACAACCTGTTTTCAGTGAGACACAGCCAGGGAGACAGGCTTCTGGGAGGTTGTAAGAGGAATGGGCCAGTGTTGTGCCAGAATTGACACCTCCTCTGGTGACCTAAAAACATACCACGTTGAGGAGCCTTTATCCCCCAGGTGATGTGAACCTAGTAATTTGTAGTGAACCTATTAATATCTTCCTGTTCAGTCACTGTCTTGAGTAAGTGGAGAAATGTTTGGGTTCTAAAGCCAGACCCTAGGTTCAGTCCTGCTTATTTATTTAGTTTTGGTTTGTGTTTTTGAGACAGGGTCTCACTGTGTAGCCCAGGTAGACCACCAACTTGAAATCCTCTGCTCATGCCTAGTACATAGCAAGTTTTCAGTGAGTGCCAGCTGTTACAGTCTGCGTTTTCTTTCTCTGGTATGCTACCTTCCAGTTGTTTAAGGGGCTGTGGAGATTACGCCTTCCCCTCCCTGATGGTGTAAACAGCCCACAGGTCACTTATGCAAACCAGGCTGAATGACACTAGACAGAGGCTGGGGTGGGAACTGGAAACCCCGCCCCTTAAAAAAAAACCAAACTGCTCAGGTCACCTCTGCCCCTCCCAGTTTCATTTCCCAGAGGAGAAGGCTGGTGATGAGGAGACTGTTGTTTTTACACAGTGAGACGAAAGCTCACTGTACCTCTCCTTAGAGTCTTTACTTGGCAATGAATTGTTTCCAGGTAGGTCTCTTCCGGATCTCCCTTGTTTCTGGGTTCCTAGTTGGGGTGCTTACTTGGTTCTTCCTACTTCTGACGCCTTTTGGTCCCAGCTAGTTGATAGGTTGAAAAACAAGCAAGCAGGGAGTGCTATCTATGTATCTATGTATTAATCTATGTATCTAGCATATCTATTATTTGATACTATGGGGCTCAAACTAGGGCCTTGCACATGCGAGGCAAGTGCTGAGTAGCATACCCAGGCTGCCTTTTTTTTTTTTTCTTCTTTTTTCTTTTAAAGAGGATGTTTGGCATAGTTGAAGCATTTTCTGTTGTGTGTCCAGAATGGGTGTTCAAAGGTACTAGGTACTGGCTAAGAGGACAGACAAAACCTAGCTCTGAAATACTGACTTCTTCCTCCAGTAGAGATGACCCAGCAGAGCTTAAACAGGACTAGTAGCAAGTCCTTCTAGGGATGGAGAGCCAGCAGCACATCTCCACATCCTCATCCTTCCTCTTACCTCCCAGCCCACTGACTTTTCCTTGTCCTTTGGAAGTTCAGTGCTTGTTCCCATTTACTTCTTGGGAATGCCTCTCAGAGTAATGCCCAGTCAGCTTGCTCAGGGCATTTGAAGCCTGACCACACGGCAGTGTGTGGTTTGGAGATAGTAAAGCTTGTTTGGCTGGTGTGTTGTAATTTGAAAATGCTTCAACAGCCACCAAGCATGAGGAAATATCCCCTGTTGATAATCCTTTGATTGTTGTTCAGAGCAATGGATTTCACTACATATGTGTTTTTATGGCTCTACAAATAGATTTCATTTGTTGTTGTTGTAATGTTTTGTTTTCATTTTGAATTGCGGAATTTTCTAAAAGAGGTACCAAATGTAACTTGTACCAGTACAAACTGCCCTATATCATCTTTTCTTCATTTCAGTGTTCTTAAGATTTGCTTTGGAGAAAATGCCATGTATCCAGTAGGTTACAAGTGTTAGGGGCTGGCAGGGGCTGGGGTGGAGTGCCTGTGAGTATCTGTGAGGCCTGGGTTCTGTCTCCAACAGTGAGGGGGGAAAAGTGACAAGTTTTATAACTGAATGACATCTGTCAAGGATGGACAGGTACTTAATAAATGACTGAGTCCATAGCCCAGAAGAGCTCAGCTGTTCTGTGTCTTGTGGATTCACATTGATGAAGATGAAGAAGTTTCAATGCAGTGTGATATCTATACAGGTCAGGGGTGAACAAAATCTCGGGAGTAAGAAACAAACTTTCCGTTAGTGGCTTTTATTTTTCATGAGGACACGATCATAGTCAACAGGAGTAAGAACTGAATCTGTACCATTGAGTGTCTTTCTGTTTAGTGTGAATCTGTTGGTAGCTTTGGGGAACTACTTCTAGGGACCTTAGTTTTCCTCATCTCATAAAACTGTGTTATATACTTTTGGTTATGAGAAGCTTCTTAGTGAATAATATCTTAGATAAAGTCTTTATATAAACTCTACCTCTCATAATTAGTTACAAGTCATTTGAGTACCTACATACCTTGTTTAAAATCCTGTTGAACTTATAGATCCTAGCATTTTGATATCCATGTACCAACCCCAGGATAGTTTCTGAGGGCCTGTTTTTATGCTGGATTTGAACTCTTTTATTTGTTTATTAATTTTTATGTATGAGTGTTTTGCTTGCCTGAATATAAGTGCACCATAAGTGTACCCATGCATGCAGTACCCATAGAGGCCAGAAGAGGGTGTCAGATTCCCTGGAACTGGAGTTACACATGGTTGTTAACCACCATATGAGTGCTGGGAATTGAACCCTGGTCTTCTTAACCACTGAGCCATCTCTCTGGCCCCTATAAAGATAGTTTTAACTTAGTAAATCAACTCCTTACCTAAAACAAGTAATTTGAGAATAGTTGGAATTTTTTTAGATTAAAAAAAAATGTCATTCTAACAATGTGGGTGAGGAGATAGCTCGTCTTCTGTTACTCATGCTTTCTGTTCTCAAAGATAACTGGCAGCCGGGAGTTGCATTTACTGTGTAAGCTGAGTCACAGCATGAATGAGGGTCTACTCCCATAGTTGTTAGGTTAACAAATGCAGTCTGAGATGAGGTGGGTTAATATTTAAAGAAAAAAATTCTACCTTCCTGGCTCTATAGGTCTAACATTCTGAAGTTTATAGTAGATCAGAATTAACAGACAATTAAGTCTGCACGATTTCTCTCTCATTTTCTTGGAGTCCTGAAGGAAGACAAATTTGAACACTAATATTTTGCTAGAATCAAAGATCGTGAGGGCTTCTTTGGGTTCTCAGCTTGATATCTACTTCATGCATATACTAAGACCTATTCATTTCCCTTCACTGGTGTACAATTTTCATGTGTTTGGGTTATAATTGAAAGCAGTTTTGAATTTTTATTATCTTAACAGTAAGGAGTGCTTTCTCTACTTAGATGTGGGCCTCCTGCCCACTCATATGCTTGCCTGGTCTTTGGAGTTAGGTGAGGTTTTCTAATTGCATTAAACTCGGTAGTATCATCAGAAAGATACTTCTTGCTGGTTTGATTTCTAGCCTCCCCATGAAGCCAATCCAAAGCTAGCTGACTGGAAGACTTGGGAAAGACTGTCTTAGTCTGGCTAACTCGTGTGGTCTGAATATTTTATTGGAAATTGTTATGATAAGTCTAACTTTGTGGTGAAACCAATGCTGGCCTAAGGGTTTGAAAGGCCTTGCTGATCTTTGAAGAGAAAAGGCCCCCAAATGGACCAGCACAAACTTTCTTCAGACAAATGCATTCCTTGTTGGTTGCCATTGCTGGTGCCAAGGCCCTTCTGGACAATTTCTGTTCTGGCCTTTGGTTTAATTGGAGAGACATTGTCAATCCTGTATGGGATTTCACTTCACTGGTCATGTCAATATTTGCTGTTGGCCACTCAAAGATCAAGGGAGAGGGACCTGTTGGTTCCCAAGACTTCATGTGCCAGTCATAGGTCTGGCCTCCCTCCTGCCTCTTTCAGAATCCACAAATGGAGTAAAGTAATCTAGTCCTGGGATTCCTTTTTTAGGTGGAAGTGAATTTTAGGCATCCAGAAAGGTATGTAGAATAACAGAGTGAGTGAGCAGTCAGCACTCCCCACCCAGTGAAGAAACGAACAATTACAAAACAGTTAAAACCTCCTCTTATGAGCCTGTCCCACCTTATCATCCCTCTCCCCACTATTCCAAATTTGGCATTTATAATGTATTTTCACCTTTATTAGATGTTATGTGCATTTACAAACCAGACATTGTATTGTTTTCTTTTAACTTTTACTTTTATTTATTTATTTACTTTAAAAAATTTATTTATTTATTTTTTTGGTCTTTTTGAGACAGGGTCTCTCTGTAACCCCAGCTGTCCTGGATAATGTGTCTGAGTATTTTGTCTGCATGGATGTGAGTGCAACATGTGCATGCAATGCCTATGAAGGCCAAGAGAGGGTGCAAGATCCCCTGGAACTAGAGTTATGGATGGTTGTGA